ACAGGCATTTTTTGTCCAAGAAGAAAAGGTGTGAGGTTTTTGTCGAGACAGTATTTGAAGACATCTGAAATATTTTATACTCGCTTGTGCTTCTGGGGTGGGCCAGAATCAGAAGTGTGAGTCTGTGACCGTGACTCAGGTTTCAACTCCAATTCTTGATCAAACAATATGTCACAAGGATGCAGCACATTCACGAGATGACATCCTGACCGACTTGCAAGACACACCGTGAATCACGCCAAAAGTGGCTCATTTGACCGAGAAGTGTTCTACATGATTCTATAAGATCTGCAAGATGTAGACGGGAATTATGCATGATTAGCTGAAATGGGCAGGGAATGATTCAATTTTGCCGTTTGATTGAGGTCAAACTGATCATGAACTGCTTCGATAGCTCTGTGGTTATGAAGCGCCTCGGAATCTTGGAATGCAGATGGTCAATGATGGTCATACAAAAAGATAGATGATAAGACAATGTTATGTATAATGACTTGACATATTGACACAGTCAGCTCCTAAAGTCGGGGTACAAGACGAGATTGGACCAGAGTGAAGCTTTCTCAATCCAAGGGGGTATCCAGACAGGGTAATGGGTCAGAGAATTGTGATTGGGATGGGTCAGCAGCGTTGTGCAAAACCTGCAGCCCCGAGAATAGAAGAGACAACAATCCCTGGGAGAAAGGACGTCACATAGGAAGCGTTTGAAGCTTCCAACTTTGCGACTTAAGGGTTGTTTTATGTTTGTAGCACACCACCGAAACAACAGTTGCGCCCTAAGAAAGTGATAGCGCGGCCAACAGCAACAGCTCGGCCAAGTCCTCAGCGGTGTCAATGAGATGGGGAAAGGGTATAACTGATGCGCCTCTGCCAGCATGTTGTAGATTTTGGATGGTTTCCTAGTGACCTAGTGTTTCTACGTACTGTATGTCGTTGCTTGGACTTGCCGTGGTCCTAGTAATTTTCCCGGAGTTGTTCTTGAACTGGCACGCTTGGGCCAACGCAGAACCCATGTGTGTGTGTGTCCACCCCTGGACCAAGGGTTTCTTCCAACCGATTCACCTGCCACTTGTTTCACCACCGATTCACAAGCAGGGGGATCAGGCTTCCAGTGACTAACCTGATCCAACGAAGCTGGGTCACTGGAAGGGATGTGGTTGAGGACGCTCGACCATGTACCTGCTGAGTTTTTCACAAGCTGTCACCCCAATCTTCCTTGGTTTGCTTCCATGGTGTTTTCGCACGATACCTCCCCCTCAAACAGGTTTCCCACCGCACTGCAGCTGCTGAACGCCGCTTCCACTTGCACGCTTTCGGAAACATTGTTCAACAATACTTTTCTGCGGACTCATGCACCTTTCCGTTCCTTCACCTTCCTTCTCAACGTGGGAACTGAGTCACTGAAAACCAATGTCAGAGTGTGTGTGTGTGTCCACCCCTGGGCAAAGGGTTTTCCACCGCCACCTCCTTCACCAGTTTTCCACAAACTTTCACTCGCAGGGGAGTGGTGCGCGGTCTTCAATTCACCACTCAACGAAGACACTCCTCGAACCGCGGTGATATCCGGAAGGGACGCCTTCTGGACGTACCTGCGCTGAACACACTGACTCCACTGGTTCCCCTCGCCGCTGTTCTTTGTTTTCATGGTTGTTCCCATGCTACCTTCCCCATAAACAGGTTTTCCCACAGCCGCTTTTCAGCTGCCGTCCGCCGCTCGTCCGCTGCTGTCGCGAGTCTGCAGATGCGCACAAACCACTTGTTCAAACATCTACAATTGATCGGACTCCTCACCTTACCGTTGAGCCATTCCTTTCCTTGGGGAACTGAGTTAACTGAATACAATTGAATACAATTGTCGAAGTGTGTTTCGCTCAGCCGTCCCACTCGGGTGCTGAGTGTGATCCCCGTCATTGGGGCGCTGTCTCATCGTGCAACGGACCTCACCACTTTTCACAGGAACTCCACTGGAAGTCACCGACACAACCACTGAATTAACTGCCACAACGGCCGCCGGGCCTCACCACGGGAACTGCTACTCCGACAGAATCTGTAGCTTTATGCAGCTTTGCATTTTTGCATGACTTTTCCGCATGAAGAGCTCAAGCTAGCTGACCTGAGCTTCCAAATTTAATTCGATATGCATGAACACACCAATACACCACATACTGCAGACTTCACACCATTCGAAAATACACATTTCCACCCTCCAGCGCTGAAGCTGCTGCCGCCGAGCTAGTGAGGCTCTACTTAAATAATCTGTTTTTTTTATAACATGTTATCGATGTTAAATGATTTAATAACAAGTTATAACTGTATGTGAACTAGTTATAACAAGTTATAAGTAGGGTTTAAGTAGGGTTTAAACAGTTATAACTTGTAAAGTTAAGTAGATGTTTTAGTAAAAATTGTTAACTTTTAGCTAACTATGTTAAGTCAATGTTTATTTTTAACTTGAGTTAGGCAGAGTTAGTAAAAATCAACTAACATATAAGTATTGAAAAATCATATTCCACATTGTAAGTTTTTTTGTTTTAGAAAATTAAAAAAGTTCTATTCTAATGTGAACTTTTCAATAAACCACCATAAGAATAATCAGCCAGCATGGCATTCAATTTTGTAAAAACATCATCAAGTGCAGTTACTTTGCCCAAGGGTGCAACATGAAGGTTGACATCCAAACAATCACAGCCATTAGCTGCAATGATTGCAAAGCAATCCCAGTGCCTGCCAATTTGATTCAAGAGCATGGTGGCCGCCAATGGTTGAAGCTGAGACCTACATGCCAGCAACTCAACCAAATCATTTATGGCAAGGTTGACAAGAATGCTTCTTTTTCCAACCACACAGGCTTCCAAGACTTCATTACCAAGAGGAACCAACTGTGGGCCAGAGGAGCTGGTGAAGACCAGCCACAAGAGACTGTCTATGAAGAAAGTGACCAGAGCACCCAGAGGACAAAGGCCAAGAAAAGAAGACTTGATGACCCAGAGGTTCTCCAAGTACCTCTGGGTGAAGCTACCATTGAGTGCTTGATGCAGGGGCAGAGGCCAACCAAATCAGATCTGGTGATGTCATTGGAAGAGAGCCAGCTGGTGCCAATTTTTGAGCTCTTGCAAGAGGACCAAGATACTTTGAAGACAAGGAAGCCTTACCAGAAGAAGGCATCAGTTCCCAAAGACTAGCTGCCATAGAGGTAGCAAATCACCAGAGGCAATGGCTATAAAAAAATGAATTGCAGTTACTGTCAGATGCTGTGTGCCAATTTGTGGCATTCTACCATTGCTTGGCAGCCTGATGGCATTGCATTGCATCATTATGAAACCAACTTTGAAGCATTTGAATTTGGCTTCTTGTAACCCAGAATCACAAACAATAGCACCAGGTATCCACCACCATGCATTGGCTCCAGCAAAGTTGCATTGGCTCAACACACTTGCTGACCGCCATGAGTGTGGTTGACCCAGCCTGTGTGAAAGCCATAAACAATCTATTGGCATCCAAATTGCCAGTGAACCAAATGGTGGACCAGGTTGTCCACACTCTCAAAAAGCAAGGTTTGGCCTACCACTCTGTGGTCACACCAAGCCAAGTTTTGTGCCACCCCCACAACAGGGCCAACCAAATGCTTTCATGGTTGGACATGTGGGACAAAGGCCAGAAGATGATGGCCATTGGTATGAAAAGGCAATTCCTTGGAGAATCCATGGCCATAGAGTCACCAGACCCTGCCAAGAGGTCTGAGCAGCTGATGGCCAATGAGAACCTCATCAAGGAGGCCAATGGTGCCATGGCACCCATGACAGGTTCTGAGCGTTCTTTGGTTGCCATGACAGCTATAAGGTTTATGCTTTTTGTCAGCCTAAAGAATCACAAACAAGTAGCTGGCATTCCATGCTTCCATTGCTTCCATTTGCTCATGTCCATGCTGAGGTTTCCTCAGCTTGTCCACCAGCCACACCGCAGCTTTTCTGAGGGCCATCAACCATGGTTGCCTGCCAGATGAGCAGCCTCCCATGGAAGTGCGCAAAGATGATCCATGCTGGGACCTCATCCAGAATGGGTGGTCATGGCTCATTTTGAGCCATTTGGTGGAAGGCCAATGGCCCATGCTACCCACCCTGCTGCAAGGGGCCATGAACTCTGCCAACTCCATCTCCAAGGCACCAAATGAATTAGAGCTTGCTGCCCAGCTTGGCCACCTGTTCAGCCTCAATGTACCACTTCATGAAGCCAAGGAGAAAGTCCAAGCTGCCAATACTTGCCAGCCTGAAGTTTTGACCTACCTCAGTCATTTTGTGAAAACATTTTCAGGTGGGCCAAAATTTCCCATGTTGGATTTCCTACAAAAGTTCAGTGGCCTGGATGCAACCAAAGGCTTCACAAATACCATTTGTTTGCTCTATACCACCAACCATGAATGTTACCAATTTGGATGATTTGGGCAAGCAAAACCATTAGCTAGTTATTTGCAAATGCGACCACCATTCAAGGTAGGAATTTCAACATCCAGCTCCAAGTTGGCCAAGATGTTTTGGAAGCAATGTGCTACACCAACTTCAAAGTCACTGGTGAAATCTTTCCCATGCTTCGAGTGGCCATGTGGTGCACCATGTTGGGGACAAACAAGCACCAGGACAACATCCAAAGGATTCTCACCAAAGCCGATCTGGACAAGCTGAAGACTGCCAATGCCAAAGAGAAGGTCATCACAGCAGAACACCAGCTCCAAGGTGCTTGGCCCATTGTTGCCAAGAGTACTGTGGAGGACCAGAACCACAGCTATAAATGCTTTGGCAGACTGTGCACCAGGACCACCCTGTTTTTGGTGGGCAAACAAAAGCACAGCAGGGAATCCAAGTCCTATGAGGATTTGGGCCAAATCTTGGAAGCCTTTACCCAAGAGATGGCCAAAACTCACACATGTGAAGCCAAGGAAGTGCTGAGTGCCAGTGCACAGGACATGGCTTTGATTCAGAACCCTCACATGAAGCCAGGTGAAGTGCACCTGGACTTGTGCAATGTAAGCTTTTGGTTGCCCATTTGCATTACACCACTAGGCAAATCACTAAATAGCAAGTCACTGGTGCATGTGCTTCCTGTTTTGGGCAGCCCAGGTACAATTGCCAGAAGGACCGCCAGAAGGACCATCCTGGTTTGGTCTTTGAGTTCACCAATGTCAAGGACAATGCCATCACAATGGTGCACAGGCCACATCTAGGACCATTGCTCAGCATTGATGTTCCATTTGATGATCTTCCAAAGTGGAAGGTGTCCAAAGCAAAGATGCCACAGATTTGCCCAGCAGAGACTGCTGCTGCTTTGCTGCCCCACAAGGTACCCATGGCCAAAGAAGAGCTTTCCAAGTTGCAAGCAACCATGGCTTTGCATGAAGCATGTGAAAAGCACCAAGTGGATCACAACCAGATTGCTTTTGCTCAGAACCCAATGGGTCTTTGGACACTCCAAGCAATCAAAAAGGCTAAACAATTGAAGTTGGTGCCATTGGGCTCATTGGCCAAATTGAAGGGGAAGGAGCCAAGGGGGTGCATACTCATGGAGCATGGTGGCATCAAGTGGCAAATCCACCCTTGGAAGCAATACCAAGCCTGGGGTGAAGATGCCAAGAGCCAAGAGACATTGGTGCCATTTTGGTGGTGCAAGAGTGGCAGTGAACAATGCAACATGGAGATCCATTCCATCACCATGACAACTAGCAGTGGCAATGTGAAGATCCCAGTCCTCACCAACACCGTAGCCATTGATGCCAACCAGTTGCTATTGTACCCAAAGCCTGAAGATAATGAGAACATGGG